CGAAATTCCTCCTCTTTTTTTTTTTGTTCTCTTTGAATTTTTTCTTCCACAGCTTCACTTACAAAACGACTAATTTTCGGTCCAGCAATTTGCCGAAGTTTGTTATAAGTTTTTTCAGGAAAATAGACATTTGCGTTGCGTCCTACCATAATATTATATTTTAATTGCTTGACTAGGCAATGATTTTTATTGGTTAAATTATTTACTCTTTTTCACTACTTTCCGATTTACATAATTTGGGAAGTTTGGTTATCCTTTTTAGTTTCCGGTTTTAAGTATTTATCCAAAAAACTTATATCTAAAATTCATTCAATTTTATTTCTTTTTTCTCACTCTTGAAATTTCTCCTGAATATGGATAATTGTTTTTTCCTCACTTCAACTGTTCACTTTTTTTAAATGCTCTTTGGCTTCTCTATCTCTACCAATTACTGAGGCAAATCCCATATGTTGAGACAAATGACAAAGGCGACAAATTGCTTCTAACCTAACTAATATTTGATTATTATTTTGGTATTGTCATACTTCATTACAATGCAGTCAACCTTTTTTAATCCCTAAATAATTTTGCTCGTTAATTCCACAGATTTCACAAATATAATTTGCCTGTTGGTATACTTTCTTTCTTATAATATCCCATTCACTTTCTTTTATTTTACTGCGAGCATTTTTCCACCAGGAAGTAATTGGAATTAGGTTGAGTACCAATTTAGCGTTATTTTCTTTCATATTAATATTAATTAAATTTATCTTTTTCCAAATCAAAACTAAAATCTAACAAAATACTATTCGGAATTTGGTAAAAATTAACTGTATCAACTTGACATAAATAGAGCCGGGCATAAACATGGTAAGGAGTTTTTAAATTGTTTTCAGTGGATTCTTGGACTACCTTTTGATAAACTTCTTTAGTAAAGTTAATTGTTGTTTCTGCCTTTTGCTTTTTTTAATTTAATTAGCAAAATAATAGCCATTTCTATTCCAATAACTATGCCAATAATTCAAAGTCAATAATTCTTCTGTTCAGAGTTTTGAGATTCTCAGGCTTGGGTTGGTTCTTCTTTGGCTTGGTATTCTTGGAGGGCTTTTTCAAAATCTTCATCTTTGAGGTCACTAACGTTGAATATTTTC